ATAATAAAAAGCTTTAATGACCAAAATAAAACTGCATGAGGAGTCCGCTCAGCAGATTTCTTAACAGCATGGTCTAAATCACTTAGCCTATTTCTTTGCAAGTCTTTTTACAGTCTTCCCTGCTGCAAGATTTATTCCCAGAGTACTAGTGTATTTTGCAGATTTCCATGTTCCTGGTAGTAAAAATTTCTCTAGGGAACCAGTGGAGCCACTCTACCATTATAAAGTCTCAAAACCAAAACAACGCAAAATTCGAGTTGCTTTTCTTGTAACTTTTTCTTACTCCCAAAATGTTTTGATTTTTTTTAATTTTTAAAGAGGTATATTCCTATGCATACCTGAAAAGATCTAACTAGAAGATTTAAGTTGTTTTACACTTTTTATTAAGCTTTGTTATCTTTTTCCCCATTTGTTGTTTTCTTATTTGCTCCAGCCTACAGACAGGTGTTAAAGAAACATGATTCTGAAGCCCTACATGTGCTAACAGAACAAAGAGTTTATATAGATACTAAGCAAATTGTATTTTTTTTCCTTTTTCAGATCTTTAAGATATTTAATTTTAATCTTCATGAAAGGATAAGAGCCACAGTCACAATTCATAAATGCTAGACATCTAGGCCTATCATAGTCTTTCTTCATCATAATTATTCACAGTTCAGAGATTTAAACACAAAGCAACTCCTACGGCACACTGCACACCTAAAATTTATTTCTGAAGTTTATCTAAAAAGATGCCTTAATTGCTTGAAGACTTCTTCATCTACTAATTGCTATTCGTTAAAGAGTAATGTGATTGATTTTTTTTTAAGAACTAGACTTACCTCTGGTTTTGGGCTGTAATATTTTCTTGCTTAAATAAAGAAAAGCAATTGCTGCTGTAATATAGTTCATGATGGTGCCAACACGAGCAGGATAAGCCAAGACAAATAAACCAAGTACATCAAAGAACACAACATTTCCATGTCGATACTCAAAAGATTTAGCCAACTTATCTGATGTTGCTAGGTATTTTAAGACAGCTAGAATATTGTCACCTATTAAAAAAGGCAGATACACAACATAACTACATCAGTGTTGATGAATTAGTACACAGCATTCTTTTAAATGTAAGCATTCTTAAAAATAAAACTATTGAAATATCCTCAATAAGGATGTGAATATACAACTGATTATTCTGAAATAGGTATTTGATGGTACGCATGGCATAGTACTTTCATGAGTTAATCTATACAGCTGTCACTAAAGTAAGTATACTTGTGAAGCTTCATGTATTTAAATACAGGTAACAAACACCTTTTGTTTTCCCACAGTACAGCCAAAACACATGTAATCAAATGAGAACAACTGTTCTCAACCTTCATTTTGCTTTTACTTGACCTGTAAAAGAGCTTATTGGCTGAACAGGTTTGTCTTTTTTTTTTTTTAAGCTGTGATAGTTTAGCAAGAGATGTTCTGTGTAACCACCATGACCAGTAAAATCACCCCTCCAACAGGAATTTAGAAGTGTTACTTTCTGTCTTGCAACTGCATTGGCACAAGAAAGCGTTTAAAACTTTTAACTGTGCTGGTCATCTAAGCTGGTTTCTGTATAAGCTTCAAGAGGGAAATGGTCAAAATTCTGGAGGCATTTAGGATTATGTTAGTTTTTCCTGGGAAGCTAAAGGTCTTACTGTAATTTTCTTTACTGCAGTCTGTCAAATAGCATGCTATGAGCATAACCTGTTAGTAGAAAATAAATCCTGTTTATCCACAGTCTGTGTGCTACCATGTAAGTTTGACTGAGATCCATTCTAAAAAAAAAACCTCTGGGCAGATCAGTCTCTGTGCCATCAACTTAACCACAAGCTTCTCATGATGAACATTAATCAGTAAGAGGACTTACTGAGAGAAAAGGAACACAAAACGCTGAGCAATCAGGTAGAAATGCTAGATTATAACCTTAATTAGATTTCACAGTTACTTTCAAATCAACATCACTGGATGCTGATAAAGTTTATCTTCTCAAGTTGACCAAATGTATTCCCTTTGTATTTTAAAGACATGTATTTTAAAGAACACGTTTAGAATGTTCTAAGTGTGTAATTAAAAATATGAATTTCTTGCAACGTTAGTCTTGCAGCAAAATGAAAAAGCAGCTACAACACTACTCTTTACTACATTACCAAATTCTTGAAATACAAACCTGCTCTCTGAATAGAATCTGTTACAATTCGGTCTGATGTGTCATATTCTGTATGATAAATGTAGCCATTTTCAATAAAAGCCAAATCTATTCCTACAGAGAGAGAAAAAGCACGTTTGAAATTACGTAAGCCTAAAACCTCAGAACAAACATGTGAAAGCCTCAGATACATGTCACACAAAACATTGCTCTACTTTGTAGCCCACTCACTTTCCTTAAAGACGAAGAAAATGGTCTGCTTTGTAGAAGGAAGACTAACTGGGATTCCATGTGTATTTAAAAAAGGACACTTTTAAAACATTTAAAAAAAATTTGTCCTTTCTAATGTATTGATTTGCATGACATCTGTACACAAACTGATTCTACTGGAGAAACACATGAAAATTCTTAATCATCTCAGCTTCAGAAAAGATGTACAAGGTGCTTTCCAAACATTTAGTAGTAAAACATCAATAGAGATCCACACAGAAAAGTAATGAAAAGCAGCACTGTGAAACTACAGAAACACCTTCTCAAAATACGCGGTGTGTTCTTTTTACTTCTAATTTGTACACAGCTGTTCAAATACCAGTCTGAAAACTCTTAATTTAAAAGTCCAAACAATTTGTAAAAATAAACAAAAAATATTTACCAAAAAAAAGTTTCCTGCAAGATTAATTATACATTCAGTGTGTCTCAAACACACACCCCCTCAGCTGCATATGCAAAAAAGTTGCTGTCCACAATCTGAATCCTCACAATTCTGCAGAGGTTTAATAAATCAGACCTCAACTTTACCAATGGGCAAAGAGGAACAAACTAGTTCTTTAACTCAATTATTTAATTTCTATTTGCGTAGAAAAAACAGAAGTCAGTGAGAACTCATTTACCATTTATGATCCAGGTATGATTCTGAACAAATAAAGAACACATTGTACACAGTCAGCTACTTTATTTTCAGGCTAGAAGCATACTTTGGAACAGTTCAGAATACGCCAACATGTTTTGTTCTAAGAATCAACTCAGAAATACCACTTTTCTTGAAAGTGAATCCAATGACAACCTGTGCCAGACAGCAAGGATTTTACAGAAGTTTATATTCGTTTGATTTGTGTTTGCATTGCGTGTTCCACATTTTTTCCCACTGGTCATTCTCTGCAGTATGGATAGCAAACTGTAAATGGATTAACAAAACCAAAACCAGCTGTCCCTGTGCTTGACTATGACAAAAAAAAAAGTAATGAAAAAGCATTAATTACTAAATCACTATCTTTAAAAAAGATGATTTTGCTTTATCCATTAGGTGCAAACATTTAATTCCTGCAAGCAGGTTATCAGCATCATTACCAAAATGTTTCAAAACAGAATATTTAATAGTGTACTGTTAATTCCTGGAGTGTTTTCCTGATTTTCAGGAAACTTTTCTACCATGTAGTTTCTTTCCGGAAAACAGCAGTCTCCAAAAAACATCCTTAACAACCTACATGACAAATGAAATCTAAAGGCTCTTGCCTTAAAAAAACAAGCAGGAAAATTCGCTCCCAAACTGAAGGACAAACCTAATTTGAGCACCTTCACATAGTGAACTGCAGAACAGTCTCCTTGTTACAAACTTAAGATAAATAGTTGAATAATGTGCATTGACATGTCTTCTGACAACATACCTGGAACATTGCCAAAATCTCTGTAGATGCGGAAGTCTGTATCTGCTGGGATAATACCACTCTGAAATATTTCCTGTGCCACCACAGAGGCAAAGGGATGTTTCGCTGCAACTACATATGCTTGTACCAACCAAGGACTCTCAGGTCCTAACAAAAGATGAGCAGAAAGTTCACAACAAATACTTTTGAACTTCGGTTAAAGACGTATCTTTAGAGTAACAAACAACGCCAAAGGAACTCACTAGAGTTTTAGTGCTGTTGCCCCACAGGGTATATACTAAGTGCATTTGTGTTGGCTGAATGACTCACACTTGAGAAGAAGAATTAGTTACACTTGGGGCGAAAAAAAAAAACCAACCACTGATGCATTCAGTGTTCAGTGGCAGAGTAGATAAGCCATCTCCCGAAAAAGACCCAGCACTAGTGAAGAAGTAGCAACATTTAGCAGAGTTTCCAATTTATCATCTGTGTGTCACACCTCAAAATTGTTGTTTAGAGAAAAGTCTTTCCGCTAAAACATTCAATGCAAGTAAACAATTAAGCAGCTCCAGCAGGAGAAGGAAGTCTGCAGTCCAACTAGGATGGAGCAGAAGTTTAACTGTAGCCTACAAAACAGAGTTTTGCTGCTTCCTGAGCAGCAGATGGGAGTTCTAATGACAACATCTCCCTGCACGGATTTTGAAAGAACTGCTGTGAAAATTAAATAAAGGATATGAAAGTATGAGTATAGAAGATAATATGAGATATCCAAAACTGTTTTTCTCCTTTACCTTGATGTAAAAGGGAAATACAAATTCTGTAATTCTGTTCTACACAGGCTTCCCACCTATGAGGCAACTTCTACAGCGGTGCTTTAGCCTACATGTATCTAAAGATGGAGAGCAACTTATTTGCTGCACAGGGTTGGGAAAGAGGCACAGAGTTTCTCCTGTATTTGGCTTATGAGTCACTTTCAAATACTCCTCCAAGTCTACATTGTTTATTATCAAATTATCCTAGTGTACAAACTGGACACAATGCAAGCTCGTACCTGTTTGAAAAACAAGTTCTTTTCCTCCTACACCTGCTGCCTCCAGGTTAATAAAAGCTCTAATTGACTTGGCCCACTCATGTTGTGTAATGAAGCCGTGACTAGCCTTGATGGGAAAACAAAAAAAATATAGGTCAAATACCTTCCAGACCAGCCTAAACATTATTTTCCATTACATGATATGATCATAATTCAAGATTGGACAAGGCAGCCAGATCACTTACAACACAAACACATTCAGAAAATCCAAGTCTTCTAATGAAATTAATACGGACAATATTCTTAATCTGAGTGTATTTTTCCCTTTGAAATCAAATACATTTTCCTTGGAATGTTAAGACTGGCATTTAACTAATATTTCAACAGATTAAATACAAGCCATATCTGCAGTTACTCTTTCCTTTGTCACAGTCTTAATATACAGTTTTGATGTATATTTTATAATTCTGGCATATTCTCACCTGCAAAATATTTTCTTCTGCACCATTAAATAAGAATATCACAGCGTGCTGCAGGGGCTCTGAAGATTTTGAAAGTGTGTTAAGTATTTCAAGCATCACTGCGCAGCTAACAGCATCATCACTGGCACCTTAAAATAATCAGCAGAATAGTATCGTTTACAACAAACACACAGAATTGCAACAAAGACCAGAGAAGAAAAAAGCTTTATGCTATCTCAGTCACTTAATCTAACTGAGGTACAATTATGTCAAGCTTTAGTATGTTTTCTGCTACTGCTTGTACTCTTTGTCTATACCAGTTAAAAGCAACAGCAGAAAGGAAAATAACTTTCAAAAGTTGAGCAAGTGAAGTACAAGGTATCAGATCCAATACTACTGTTCAAGAAAAGTGGACTAACCAGGTTACTAAGCAAGCAAAGTGATCATTATCTATTTTTCTAAGAACAATACAAATAAACAAGGACGTAATTTGCACTTACAGCATACTCAAATTTTAAAACATAAACATTCCCACACAAGTCACCCTAAAGCATTCTACACTATTACAATGCATTCAACTAAGTGGACAAAACCTCAAAGTAACATAAAGCCAAGACTGCAAAATAAAGCAAAGGAAACACCAGAATTCGTACCTTTAAAACATTCTTAAAAATGAAGGTATACATTATAATACAGTATTTTCATGATCAGATGCTTTCCACCACCCTTTCTTTGAAGAAAACCCCTTTTGCTCTGAGCTCAGTAGTCATTCTCTTTTTGAGTTCCTCATCCAGCACTATCCTAGACTTACTCTCACTTCCTCACACCTCCTCTGATGCCCTGCCATTTTTTTCATCTTGATTAAGCATCCATCTTTTAGCCAAGCTCTCCCATTGCCCCACTTCCCTCACTTCAGTACAAGCTGTAGCATCTCCCTACCCCACTCTAATCAATAAAATTTGGGAGAAAACAGAGAAATTTAACCTCACTCCTTTAGGCCTGGGTTGCATATATGATGCCGATGCGCACTGAGATGATGACAGCGTGGTCAGGCCTCAGCATGCTATTTGGGGAGACTCATTAGCTGCTAAAACTGTTTAATTTACACATAAACCCCAAAATGTTACCAATACACTGTTCTCTAATCTATTTCTCAGAAATTAATGTCTTGTTCTGCCAAAAGGTTTCCAAAAAGCCCCCCCAAAATATCCCATTTAAAACCCTGATTATATTGCTACCTGAATTTATCAGTAGTCTACTCTTAGCCTCACTGAGTTCTTTTATCTAACTTAACGATGTGTTGAAAACTCAGCAGAGAAGTGATTATAGTTTTCAGCAAGATTAATCACTTATCTGCCTCGCTGTGAAGCTAAGAAAACCAGAAGTTATTGGTTTCAACAGACAGATTTACATCTGATTAAAGCAGCCATGTAGCCATGACTATGACATAAGCTCACAGAGAAAGTATCATCCTCAAATATTTCATATACAGCAAAACTGACAGGTTAAAACAGATTTTATGGCAAATATCAGTAACCTAAGAAACCCACAATATCAGCTGCGTCTGCGATGATAATTTCAAGGATGTTTCTGCCTTCGAGTTTATTAGAAAATAATCAAATAGGTTGTATAAACTGAAAGCTAGTACCATTAGAACAAGAGACATGTTTTAGGAGTTTACAGTGTATGTTTTTCCTTCACAAGGACTTGAGCTTTCTAACAGTGAAGCTCTAATGGTTTACTAAATTTTGCTTTACTCATTCTGTATGCATAAGCATCAACAGCAGATTATGTTTTATTACCTCATTTTCAAATACATTACTCATTGATCACTAAGTCCTGCTGATTCTGGTTAAATAACACATTTTTGGTAATGAAAAAAAGCTGTAAGAAAATGACTTACAGAAATACAGAATAGAAACCTTGCTTAGGTTATGTGCAAGTTTCACACTGAGAAAATGAAAGATGGGCAGTTCCTCGCTGTTGCGGTAAAGGACTGGGCTGCTTTGTGATTAAGGGCAAGCATACAGGCTGATTTCTAGCCCCTCCACAGACTTCTGTATAATCCTACACAAATCACTAATATTTTTTGGTACCTCTGTGCAAGGTTGGTGACATACTTTACTCTCTGTGTAACTGTAAAGAAAGTAATTGATGTAGACATAATCCTGTGTTACAACCCATACAAGCGGTTTTACAATTTACACAGGGCATCAATTTAAAGACAGTTTTCAATAATCATTTTATTATGCTTGTAAAGTATTCTTTCTAAGTCTAGGCATCCATATTTAGACTATAAATAAAGTAATTAGCACCTCTGCTGTTCCTAAATCCTAAATAATAATCCTGCAGTTATTAAGCTTAATTAATTATTAAACTCATCTTGCCTAAATATGATTGAGGAGGAAGAGAAGTTTTGTATACTATTTGTTGACAGAAAAGAGGCACAAAGAGTACGGCAACTGCTTTGTTTCTCTAGCTAATACTCAACTGTTTTCTCAACAATGAAGACTATTTACATGTGCTAATGAACAGGTTTACCCCCAAAAATAAAATATCATGTGGGGTGTAAATGAACAAACTTCAGTAAAAGCTGTGCTGTTGGTGACTGAAATCGGTAGGTATACTTCAACTGCAGTAACAGGCACGCACTTGTGGCTAAGTGTTACAACAAATGTTTTCGTGCTGTATCCAGTTCAGTACCTTCCTGGCACTGTTAAAACCATGTATTTACAAAGCTGTTTACACCCTTGCTGCAATACTTATGTAACATAACATTTATAAAAATGCAGAGGGACAAGAATAAGAGAGTACACAACAGTGACAATGAAAGTAGCCATGAGTGAGCTGTACACACTCCCAAGGCAACAGTACCTTAACTACTGATGACTACAGTCTTTTTGAGACGGAAGCTTTGAATGTCGAAATGAAAAAGAAAAACTTGGCATAGCTTAAGGATATCACATTAAAAATTTGAGATACAGTACAATACCAGCAAAGGGAGGGCAAAACACAGACTAGTTATTTAGGGGGGGAGGAACAGTCTCTGGCACAAAGCATCCTGTGGAAGGAAAGCCAGGATTAAATTTGTACAGAACAGAAAGACCTCAATGACAGGCAGAAGCAGCACATGAACTACATGCATAAGCAGTGAATTACAAGAAAGGCAGACATAACCAAACTTTCTAGAAATCTAAATATAGTATTCCTAATTTGCTGCCTCCCAGAGAGTGAAATCCTGACTGGAATACGACCAACCTGTCACTTTAAATACTGAATCTCACTGAAATCAAGCAGACTAGGTGACACATGCAGTATTCTAGCATGTGGCTATAAGGCTACTTGGTATGAGAAGACAGCGAGCCAAGTTCTGTGGCTCATGTAATATACAGAAACGCAGAATGAACATGTGGACCTACCCGGGCTATTTGGTACGGAATCAAAGTGACAATTGGATAACACTGCATGCTCAGCTCCATTTCGGGGTTCCAGCTTCACTACGACATTGGTTATGTTTGCATAGTAACTAGTAAAGCCTCCTAAAAAGTCAATGCTGAAGGAGCCTGTGGGCCTCTGTATGTCTACAGATATCTTGTGAGCATCTGTGCTTTCTCTTTCTATTGCCCTAATTTGTTCTAAGAGGTAGTTAACTGCAAGAACTTCATTTTCTGGACTTCCAACTGTTCTGGGCCCAATTGCTGTTATGTTGTCAAGATATCCCCTGTAAGAGATAAATTACACATTCAGCATCAACACGTTCAACATTTAGTATGTAACTTATCTACAACTCGACATTTTTGTACATTGTTCTATTTCAAGACTGACAGTAAGTGGAAAAGACTAAAGCCAATTAGACAGTAACTGTAGTCAAGATGCCAAAGATCCCAATGGTAGTGGGCATACAGTACTGATCTGTACTCAGGGCTCCTCATCCTACCCATCACAACATTAAACCAAACTACTGTTTTTCTGGTTTGAACATGTCAATCGAAAAAGAAACAAAAGGGTGAATGGAGAAGCTAAAGATTTTATCTTTAGCAAGGTTCTATATATGCATACATGCTCTTCCCCGAATGTCTGAATAAGCACACTCTTTGCAAGATTTACACTGACTAAAAATTTGCAAAGAAACTCTCCCAGACACTCCGTACTTTATAATACTACGAGAATTAACCTGTGGAGGATGCTTTGTTTGATCAGCCCAAAAAAGCACCTTTAAGAGGCAGCCAAAACGAGAGCTGAAGCCCTTACAATATTTTTACCTACTTTCTGCAAGCGCCCAAGCAAGCTCTGCGCTCTGGCCAGGGCAGGGAAGGACACAAGCACTCTGCACAGGACAGGCACCCAGCAACTGGCGGCAGCGGCCCCCACCGCCTTAGCCAGCCGGCGGGAC